CCCGCCGGGGGTGTTGTTACGGCCCCACTCCAGCGTGACCGATGTGGTGCTCCCTGCGCGCCGGGTGTGCTGTCAGTTCCCACGTCCTGACCTCCTCTGAACAGCAGCTAGAAAAGAGACAGCGTGAAACAGGCTGCCGGTGCTGGACCGGTGCCTCTGGGCTCCAGCCCGCGCCTGAAAGGCGTGAGGAAAGACGACTGCTCAGCTGAGAGCATGGACTAGACTGATGGTCCTGCGCAGAGTGTGCAGAGCCCCGAGAGCCGCAGGATGAGTGAACATGGCAGTGCTAGCGCATGGCATGAGCCTCCCCTGCGCCACAGCACACTCTCCTGCTGCTCACTGCGCATTTGCCAGCTTACAGAACAGAATTTCTTTTTATTTATGTTTCTTGACAAGGACAGACAGAGAAAAGAGTTCATCTTCCAGGGCTTCTCTTGGACCTACATTTCACTGGCAAGTGTGTCCAAGTGCAAAAGTTGAGGTTATTTGCAGCTGCAGAAAATCTCACCATTTCCACAATTAATTAATAGAAAACCTCTGCTGGTTGAAAAAAAAAAATGCTCAAAAATGCTGAATTATAATGGGAAAACTTTTTCATGTATAAAAAAATCATAATAAAACATTCCTGCCCAGAACTTCTTTTACACTTTCCTCATGCCCTCATTCATCAGATCATCAGGAAATGTACCATATGGAGGGAAACCCAAAAAACCTCCCATTTTCAGTCTCATCAGAGGGTTGCTACTAGACAGTTTTGATTACAGCCTGTTGCAGGAGACATCATAGAAAAATCCTGCAAGGGCCCCTCTGACTTGTCCCTTCTGTTACTATGCAATGCTTTCTAACCCCTTGCTTAGCTTAGCCCCAGTTGGCCCTGGGGATTTCAAAGATCCAGGAAACTGGGTCACCTGAAGTATATGATACAATGCATGAGACAGTTCCCCTTTATACATGCAGCCTATCTCCCTTCTTTTAAGAATAGCAGTTAATTTGTGAAGTTATTTGTTTGCTGCAAAATAAAAACAAGGTTAGTGGATCAACATCAGTCAGTCTGTAAAACAGGTGCAACTCCTATTGTTTTGCAAGACAAGTGGAGCATCTTACTTTTAAACACTTGCATCTTTGGCTGCTCCTGCACAGCTGTGCTCCCTGAACGATAAGTTGTTAGTGGGCTGAATGAAGGACTCAAAGATGTAGTAACATTTTGGTTATTCCTATGTCTTTCCCCAATTCTTTCCCTTCTTCTTTGCTTTTTTTTGTCCTGTGCAGGAAAGTGGTTGAGCTGCCTAAGAGAAGGTTTGGAGTTCCCCTTGACCGGATTGGAGTGAGCCGTCTCAGCAACACCAAGGGTTAGCAGTTCCTGCAAGTAAACCAAAATACTGGGGGTGTGAGCAGGCTCGGAGAACCCCACTTGTTCTCAGTTACGTGGAGGTATTCAAGTCACACCAGTGGGCTTGAAAAGAGGAGCTTGTGGAGTGATGGCTTCTTATAACATGGATTGTGATTGCCAATTTAGGTTGAATGCCCTAAATTACAACTTAGTAACCCATCTACAAGAAAACAAGTACTCCTAACATTTTCATTCCCTGTAGACCACCTTATAGTAAACACCTTGCATTTCTGACGTGGGAAAATGTAATGTTTGCTTTTTTTTCCTGCCTACAGGTGCTTCTATTCTGAATGATTGATAATGTATTGGAAACATTACAGAAATATGGAAGATGCATCACAGCAGGTCTTGTCATTGATTAATGATACAACACTCAGCGAATTGACCTCCACAAAATCTGTTTCTCGTTACGTTTTACAAATGTTGCATTTGCAAATAATAACAAATCCAGTTTGTTAGGTCAGAATGCTCTCACAGTTGTGCACGGTGTCACTGACAGGAGTGAACAGAAAATATGTATATAGTTTAGTTGCATGGCATTTGTCTCTTAAACTTGCACAAGTACATTATCCTAGCAAGAACTGTTAGATTTTTTTGGAATGAAAATAAAATTCCCAGAGATGCCAACAGCCGTCCATGAAAAGCAGACAGTTTGCTTTGCACATATCTTTCAAGAGGGTGTTTATTTGGTAGATGAAGGAAATATTTCACATTTATGGGACAAACCTAGAATTTGTTTGGACTGCTGTTCGGGAGAAGATGTCTGTTGACTTCGCTAGGAGTTAGCCTGAGTAAGAGCTGTGACAATACCTTAGTATTTATCCTGATGTTTTTAGTAGTCTTTCTCTTATCTTTGCACCATATTTAGGCATGTTTTCATCGTATAGCAGATCCTGAAATGTGGTGAGACTTCTAGTTTCCTCCTCTAAGCTGATGAATACATTTCACTCCTCCCTATGCATAGCATAGGATAGCATCCAAATATGAAATCATCTCCTTCCTAGGCCATCTGCATCATATGCCTTATTTTAGCTTCTTGATGTGTGCACAGGGCATAATCAGACATCCAATTCTAAAAGTTCAAGTATTTCTCACTCTAGTAAAATATAAATATGTCCTTTCCACTTCATTTCAGAGTAAAACAGGTTGTCTTCAATCCTGCTTCATGATTTTCACTTCTTTCCAGATTATAAAATATAGCTGAAAAGAGCTGTTTGCAGACATCTCAATGCTCAGGCTCCTAGCTGATGTTTTCTTTGGTCTATGTCAGCTAAATTCCTTAGATAGCTGTTCTTGGGTATAAATCATCCTTAGCATTGCAAAGGAAGATCCATTGAGAAAGAGATTATGCAGGACTAAGAAAAAAAATTGTTCTTGTCAAACTCCCTGTGTTAGCCAGAGAGTAAGGCTAGAGATAGGAATTAAGTGTTAATTTCCTAATCTTATATGAGACGCAAAGCACTTGGCCATCAGCTAGCAGAAGGGAGGAAAACGAAGTCTGCTTTGCAGTCAGCTACAGGAATGGAGTTGGGAAGTCAGAGAGTCTTGGAAGTTAAAGCTGTTGTGAGGATTGGGACTTCGGGGGAATTGCCCTGTTCAAGCCATGGTGGCAGAGGAGGCTCCTGCTCAGGACTCAGGTAGCGTCCAATTCGTGTCTGAGAGGTGGCAGTGCTTGGCCGTGGCAGAGGCCTTTCCCATTTTTCTTCTTCCTTACAGCTCTGCCCTGAGACCCGGACTGGTCCAGCCACAGAAAGTTTTCAGGAAACTTTGCTTTTCTTGACATCTCCAGTATAGACTAATGCTGCTGGGAGCTGCTGCACAAACCAATGAATCACATCAAGAGGTTCTCCCAGTTTCCCATTCGGCAGAGCTCGCTCTGGCTGCGTTAGGTGATCATTCCTCCTTCTGTGGGCAATTGCCAGTACTTGTGTGTGAGGTGAAGCACTACAGGTGCTTTCTAGACCAAGCTCTTGAAAGTCATAGAAATAAAGTGAGGCTGTAAATCCACATGTGGCTATCTTGGGGTTTTTCTCCTTGCTTTTCCCCTGGTCCCTGCTCATTTTCTGCCTTTAAGCCTGCAGGTGAAGGCTCTGAGAGCTGGGTTGAGTGGGTGAATGTAGACTGGCTGACTCAAGACATGATTTTCTGTCCATGCTAGAAGCAAGCCTGCAAATGCAGTCCCATACAAGCCCAGGCTCTGTCTCTGCAGTGCCACTACCTATTCTGAGCCTGGCCTGTGGTTTAGTAAACAGTTATCTTCTTGCACTGAGCTCATCCAGACAGTCTGCAGATAATCTGCTTGCCAGGTAGCCATATGTATGGGGCATAGGCAGATTATGGAAGTGATGACCTGACCACTCGTACAGCTGTCTGTCAAATGCAGTGTGGACAGAGTCATTGTGTGACATATTTTGGGAGACTCGGATTAGAGGAATCCAATGCTAACACAGCAGCTTTGTAAAGACACTGCTGGATCATAGAAGTATTGTACAGCTGGTAGGTATTAGCCTGAGCTTCCAAATAAAGAGGGGTTTTAAAGCCTGTAAGTTGTGCGCTGAAATGCCTTCCATCTGAAGGGTGATGTGAAAACAAAGCAGGATGGAGGTGTCTCTGATGGTCTTGCTCGGAACTGGGAGCTGGAAGCTTCAGTCCTTCTCTTGGCTCCCACCTCACTGTGTGGATTACTTGGGAGAAGGCAGTAGCCCCATCCAGCACAGAAAACCCTGAGACATCCTGAGACTACTCTTTAAAATCCATAAATTGGCAGATGCTGTTTACACTATGATGATGCCTGAAAGGCGGAACACCTTAATTTGTTACTTTAGATAATACTGGATAACTTCAGTCATTGTGCGTAACATGGAGGTCAACAAATGTGAAATGAGGATATACTGCAGCATCCATTGTACGCTAGATTTGCCCTGCCCTGCCTTCTTGCAAATCCATTCAGATGTCTGTGAGGATTTTCAGCTAATAAATCAACACAGTCTACTAGAATGTCCAAGAGAAATCCCTGTAATTGTTGCCTGTGGGTTATTAACTTTAGCAAGAATGACTGCCCAAGCATGGGTAAGGTATGAAGAACCACAATGTGGAAGTGGGACCTAAGGAAGAGTTTCTGTTCTGTGCATTTGGGAGAAAGGACAGGACCCCCACAGTGACATGTTGTACATAAGCATCACCGCCTTTGCTTTGAATTAGTAAATAAATTGCATTCAACACTTAATCGTCACTCCAGCAGAAGCAGCTAACACAGCAGCATATAGTGCTTGTGAGGAATAGTGGGGTAGTTTGTGTACCATGAGCACTTAAACTAACTGTGCTGATAGGATGTAGAACACCATGTGGGCTAAAACCCAGTGCTAAGCAGTATGGTGCATTGCCCTCTAGGGAATCCTTGTGTCTAGAATCAGACAGAGCAAATGGTTAAATAGCTGTGGACACTGTATTCCTTTTCCTGACGTGCTGATGAGTTATCACACCGGGTCAGGAAGGCATGGCTACAGCTAGCAGATAACAGATGGAGCCTGCTGCTCCAGCCTTTCATTGCCCTGGCATTTCCTGCAAGCTGAAAACATCTGAGCTGAACCCCAGTTTGGGGCACAGAGTGCAGCTCTGTAGTACACCTCCTTTTCATCTGGAGCACTAAACTCTTAAAGAAAGAGAGAGCCTTCTCTCAGCAGCAGGCTGATTTCTTCCTGAATGTGGTGCTGTTGTAAGGGTATGTAAGAGTGTGCTCCCACATACCTTTTCACTTGCACAAAAGCAACAGAAAATGTGTTCTGAATCACCACCACGGAAATAGCAAAGAATTAACATTGATGGCAAACTGCATTTTGTATGCCATTGGTTCTCACTGGTCTAATCCATAGATGCTGAATTTGGCCTGTAATAGAATGAGTAGATCTCCTCGTGTTAATGATGTAAATACAAGGTACGGCTGTGGTAAGTGTGTGCTTCTTGCCAGAGCCCAAGGCAATGAGTGTGGCATGGTAGTTGCAGCTTTGGGAGAGGTAAAGTTTGGAAGAATATGCAGTACGTAAGCTACAGTTAGATAGCATGGCTTGACAGGGCTGGATCCTAGTCAAAATCACTTCATGCTCTTGCAGTGGCTACCAGATTCTGCTTTCATTTACACTGTTAGAATCCTCAAGGTTAACATCAGGATTTTTTCTGAATTTACACCTTTGGAAACATGGTCCTTTGTTTTTGCAAATAAATTTGGAAAATGTGACTTAAGATGAATACATGTAGAAACCACTGATGGATTGTGGTCTCTTCCTTTTGGACAGGGGCACACATAATTCTGCAGTAGAGGAAGCCAGCTAGCATCTTTACTGGCCAGACAGATGAGCTAAAAAATCTCTGCTCAAAGCATCTCTTTGGGGTGAATAGGTAGAAATCGGTGGGTCTGTCCCAGTCCTGTGAGGACAGCAGCCCACACATATCCGTGAGGAAGACCCAACTCTCATTCCCAATTCTGGTCAAAAGGAAGGGCCTCTTCCTCAGGCCAGTGTTGCTATGCCTAGGTGTCTAATGGGAGACATTTTTCCATTGTAAACCTCATGTGAACCGTTAAGGTAACAAGAGCCGACATCAAGGGAAATGTGCTGCCCCTTGGGCCTCTGCAGTGGGTGAGAAAGAAAACGGCACGTATTTCTGTGCAACAGAAAATCTTTATTGGAAAGAAGTCCAAAGGATTCAGACTTCTACGCTTGTCCTCCCCTAGTCCTGCTGTGTACATGGATGGGACACGATGAGGAATGGCTCTGGCTCAGCAAGCCGAGGCAGGCAGCCCTGAGCCTGTCACATCACACCCAGTCTGCCTCCTTGTCTCAGCAGTGGGTGTGAGGTCATCACAGACCTGCTCGCAGGAAGCAATGGGAAACCCAGACACCACCATGAGCAACGTCTGCAGATGTGGGCAGAGGCTGCAGCTCAGGGGAGCTGAGTTAGTGTTTGGTGCCTTGGGGGACCTGGCGAGAAGGGGAGGAGTGTGCAGTGGCAGCAGACTGAATGGCACACACAGGACAGCAAGGGAAGTTGGGGAGCATCTTCCAAGTAGAAGATATGGTAGGTCAAACCTGGAAGGAGGGAACAGTAGAGCATGGTATTTGGCTACCAGCTCCTGTCATGGTCCCTGTTAGCCTTGACTGTGGTGCGGTCATGGAGGGTGGCATCCAAGTTAGCAGCGTGATGAGAGAACAGAACAAACTCTTAACACATTAATACCTAGCAAGGCAGTTTGGGGAAGGGCTCATCTTCATCCTCCAGTCCTGGCAAGCCTTCAGATGCAGTATTTCCAAAAGCAGGCTGGGAAGGGATACAAGAGAAGGATGTTAGCATCCAAGGAACTTAGTCCAGATTGCTGCTCTAGTCCTGGGGTGGATTTCGAAAGTCCCATGTCTTGAGAAGGTTGAGGTGTAAAGCCAGCATTGTGGTTTCTGGACACATCTCAATAACCAGCTTTGACTTCATGTAACACTTTTAGAAATTGTTTCTTTTAGCTGCTTATAGTGTAAATAGGGGGTCTAAAAGTTGTTTCTATGTTGCTTGATTTATAAGGGATTGGTTTTTCTTTTACTCTACTTCAGCAATATCAGGAACCAGTTTTTTCTTTCCTGTCTACTGGCCACCAGTTTAGCTGCCTGAGAAGTGTGTGCAGGATTTTTCACCTGTGCCTGACTGGAAGAGCAGGATACTGACTAGGAGAGACCAGATCTGCTCCTTACATTTTTTTTAAAAAAAACAAAACAATCACTCTAAAATTCTGCTGCTAGCTGTCCTCTAAACATTGATCTCTGTGGTATCTTCTAAGAAGACTAGGTTAGGGAAGGATGTATCTTTTGGTGTTGGAAAAAATAGCTGTATCACTGGCATACCCTATTCTTTGAATCCCATGTGGGTCTCCTGTTGTGAAGCATGAGAAGAGATTTCCACTTGGTTTTTGAAAGCAGGATCTTGGGAGAGAGCTTCTAATGAATCAGCAGTGCTCGTGCTGAGACATGAGCTCCTCCCAGACTGGAAGGACTTTGATGAAGGCAAAGATTCTCGGCTATAATTTCTGGCAGAATCTGATTTAAACCTGGCAGGAGGAAATAGTTTTATCTACATTTGAACCTTCCAGACTGGTGGAGGCATGAATTAGATTAGCCAAATTAATGACAGCCTCCAGGGTTGCTTATAAATTGCAGATTGTCTAAGGATCATCTAAGCACGTAAGCAAGCCTTGCACAAAAGGATTTTCTCTTGGCTGTCTGGCAGGTTGTCAGCTTGCATATGCACAGAGCACGTGGGGTAAAGGCAGAACTATCTCATTTGCTTTTAGACCAGATCTGTCATCAGCAACTTCTGGAGGAATCCACTGAAAGCTGGCAGGTATGAAGTTGTCCATGTGCTTGTCAGGGGCAGCTCTGCAGGAGCACTGGTGCAATATGCTCCCGACTGGACAAAGCTTGGAGAGCACCTGGACAGCCTACTAGATCTTAGTTCCCTGCATTCTTGGTTGATTTCTACATCCTTTTTAGCTGTTTTTTTCAGCAGCACAAACAAGTGCTCCTTTTTTTTCTGTAGGGAGGCAGTGACCTTGGCAGAGAGGAGTGCGTGCAGTCCACATGCCTCATTATGCCTTCAGCTCTAGCTTTGTGCTCAGAGCAAAGCGACAGGTGCCCTGTGGGGACAGATGTGTTCATACAGAACTCACCCCTGCCACGACAGGTGCTCATTGCTCATATAACCCCGTGTCCCTCTGTGAAAAGCAGGATGCAACGCTGCCTCCAGTGAGGTCCTGGTTGTGCAGTCCTGCTATATCTGCCCCGGCAGGAGGCAGGGTTGGGTACACAGTCCTTCTCACCAGCTGCTGAAACAGCCAGCCATTACAAAAGAGAGGGCCTGGGCTGCTAGAAAAGCTGCCGACCTGGTTTTCAGTATATTTGGGGCGTGTTTACTGTCACTGTCTTTCTTGCAGAAAGGAAGCCCTGGAGAGGAGAGCTGGACAGGATGACTGCAAGGCTCTGACCCAAAACCTACCGCGTTTTTTGGGCTGGGATGCTGAGAGACTTTCCAAGGCATAGGCCACCTCTGTCCCTTCCTCAGTTGAGAGCTGATCCTTCAACTTCTCTAGCTGTTTAAAAACAAACACAGCAGTAAACAAATGCCCCATCATGAGGAGCCCCATAGTGTGCTGGCAAGTGCAGAGGGGCTGAGAGGCAGGAGGTACAGGCAGCCTAGCTGACAGCATCACTGCGGAGGACAGGGGCTTCCCTGGAGCCAGACCATTCCAGGACAATCTGCCTTTGGAGCACTCACACCTTCTCATATTGTCTTCCACTAAGCTGCTTGTTTGGTGGCAGCAGTGTAGGCACTCTCTGTTCTTCTCCTCCACCTCAGGGTGCAAACCCCTGTGGGGAGGAGGCTGTGTAGAAGGATATTACACCATTAAGAGTAAAGTCAATACTGAGGCAGGAGATCTCTGATCATCCACATGCTGCAGAAGAGAGCATCGCTTCTCCATTGCTCTCGGTTGTCCCTGTCCTCCATTCCTCCCAGTTCTTGCTAAATTCCCTTGGTTATAGCATGTAAAGTGCATGGTATTTCTTTCACCTCTGTAGCTACTCTTTTCTTGCAGTCTAGGAACATCCGTGGCCATCATCTAGGCTTCTGCTTTGGCAACGTTGCTCCCAGGAAGCCAGAGCTTAATGTCCCTCAGCACTGGAGCAAGTGGCTAGAGTAGGAGCTGACAGCCTCCTGTCTGGCATGCTGCCCTGTGATTTTTTGTTCTGGGCTGAAAAGTACCAAGTGGAATCCAGCGGGACTGCTAGGATTCACGTGAACAGCTGGACCTGACCTGAGAAAAAGCAAAAAGAGCTTCCACTGCTTGCAGGGTTCAAGGCATAGTGGGAGCCATGTGAAGGTTGCTGCACACCTTTCCCTGCTCCTGGGCCCTGGGTGTGTGATGGGGCTTCCTCTTGATCTGTGTGTGTGTGTGTGTGTGAGTGTGCACTCTGCTCAGCACAGTAGGGCTCTGACCCTGGGTAAGGGTCGAGCAAAGAGCCCAGACAAAAATCATTCTGGATTAGGTGTGCAGTGGCTGTCCCTCTAACTTCAACCTGGTATCTAATGCAGCCAGCCGATACAATTCCAAGGAAGGCATCATGACCTCCTCTTCTCCCTCTCTTTTCTTCCATGGAAATATCCTTTCGTGTTTATTTTTTTCCTTGTTTGGCCTTCACTGGATTTTCACTGGTGATAGAGGCAAGAGTTGCCTCATCTTCTATGGCACTAGTCTATAGCCTTGTTCTCTTTTCCAGTTTGTGCAGCTGTTTAGCTCAGGTTCTGTTTTTCTCTTTGTGCAATATTTGCTTACATTATAGCAGCAGAAGGAAGAGCAGCAGAATGCAAAGACAGAAGAATACGGCATAATTGTGTGTGCACAGTATGCACAATTGTTTAGCTATTCATATAACATATATGAATACATATATATGTCTGTGCATTTGTTCCTCTCACCTGTTCAAGCTCTTCAAATTTCTTCGCCAGCTCCCAGTCTGCAAGGAAGAGAGTAATAACATCAGTATCTGCATTGTTTCCTAAAGCTCAAATCAAAACCAATTTATTAATTTAACCTCTTCAAGGGTTGACAAGAAAAGACCTAGTTATCATTTAATTCCTGTTAGTGAGCCTCAAATCGATGGTAGCAGAAACAGTGACAGAAGAGCAGGCTTTCTCTGTTGAATTCTATAGGGCTTTAGCCAAATTTTCCATTACAAGCGAGACCTCTCTATTGCTCACCAGGCTCTAGGGAAATTAGCCCAACCAGCTCATGTAGTGTGTGATACCAACTCAGGTGAACCTCTTTGCTGCTTTTCCATTTCAATCCCAGTAAAAACAAATCTCTAATGGTGCCTTTTTCTGTCACTGACCTTTTAAATGAACTCCCATTGCTTCTTTTAAGACTTGTTTATCCTCATATCACCTATGAAGGCACGAGTCAGATGACACAGATTTAGCCTAGCGTGCCTTATTGCTTTGTAAGTCAGCAAACACCAAGGCCGGCAGAGTGGAGCAACAGGAAAAGTAACATAGCAGTGAGCGTGTGGATTCCATGCTTGTGAATGTTAGGGGAGCACAGGGACTTGGGGACCAGCTTCAGAGATCTCTAGGCTGAGCAGTACTGTGCTAGACTGTCAGAAAACTACTCAGATGGATGAATGAACTGGCCTGAACTGGCCCATTCAGGAAAAGGGGAGAGCTGGGTGCCTATGACTGGGATCTAAAACCTCCAGCTGATTTGGGGAGGATATGGATTAGCAATAGGGGAAGCTGCAGGAAAGAATGGAGGATTTCAATCTCACTCCTCTTGAGGACTGAGGAACCTTAATGCAGACTCAAAGTGATGTCAAAAACAGCTGAATTTTTTTAATAGATAGATGAAACAACAGAAAGCACCATGACAAAACGAGCTCAGCCAAAGCTGAGTGAATGGAGTATAGCAGTTCTCTGAGGTGAGGGAGAACACAAAATGATCAGCGGGCTTTAAGTGCCATTTTGGGAAAAAATGTGCTAACATAAGCAGAAGAGTCAGGAAGGAACCAAAGAATGTCTTTGCTGGGCCCCACAAACAGCCCCAGAACTGCCTCCTTTATCTGCTCCTAATGTGGCAACAGGCATTGGTCTGCGTCTCCACGGAGATTTGGGACATAATTCCCCCTGGTTTCAGATAAGACTTCAGCACTCAGACACATCATCAGACTTGGGCTTTTTTTTTAAACATTTGAAGCTGAGCAAGAGGGTGCCAAGAAAGAGTTGACTGCCTTCACAGTTTCTCCTTCGAGAAGGAAGCAGTTCAGTTGAAAATTCCTGAGTATTTTCTGACAGATATTCATCCAGCAGAAAAAGCAACAGTTCCTAAACAAGTCTATCACGTCAGGGCTTGGTGGGCTGGGGGTGGGCTGAAAGTCTGGAGGTGAGGGCTCTGCTGCTGGCACTGTCAGCAACGACCTCAGGCAGATTCCTCTTAAGCACGTCTTTGCATATCTGTAAGGTAGAGAAAGCCAGGCTTGCATATCTATAAGCCAAAAATGCCACTTAAGAAATTATTATTAATAACAATATTATTGTTCTTATCTTATTATTGTTATACACATTTTTACCTCTTTCAGAGTTCCAAGGGCCAATTTTGGCTTGACTTTCCTCAAAGCATAAGCTTGGCCAATGACTGCTATGAATAGAAAATGAACAGCGGTCGAAATTTGGAACAGATTGTCTCAGGCAGGGGGAAGGAAGTTAATTTATGGATGAAGCCTTGAGAAAGTGCCTCCTGTAAATCCTCTGTCTGTGCTCTGCTCAGAGATTCATTATATTCAATTGTCTAGCATAAAATGCAGCCTTTCCTCTAGGAGTAATAAGTGCAATAATCCATAAACCAATCATAAAAATGTTATTTCTTGAATGCATCCATTTTCCAAGAAGAATGCCTTTGTAAGTAGAAGGACTTGATTTATTTGTATGTATTTGTCCCAGGATTGTTTAGCCACTGCCTCACTACATTAACATGGGGCTGGGGAAGAGCACTAAGTGATTTTGACAAATGGATTCTCATAACAAAATTTTTGCTGGGCTCCACTTTGGCTGTTTTCACAGGCAAGGGCAGCTTCCTACTCTGAGACCACCACATACAGCCCAAACCCTCCTCTGGCTGCGGTGGCCGTGGGAATAGCTGACCCCTGTAATCCATATGGCATTTGTGACCACTGTGCATAGTGTCACAAGAAGCCAAAATGTCTCTTTGTCTGAGTTAGCCACATGTGTGTGGCCTTAAATTTGGTGTCTGTTCTCACAGCACAGACAAGAAAAGCCTCTGTGTGTTCCATCTTTGGTCTCTCCACTGTGTGGGAAAAGCCCATTGTCTCAACCTCTTCTAGCATTAGCAGGGGCTTTGACAGGAGCTCCCACCACCCTTCTCCCAGCCTACACCTGACCCCGAGGGAGCTCTGCAGAATCTTGATGCCACTCCACTGCCCCATGTCCTTTGGAAATTGCCCATTTTTGCGTGCCAGCGAGACACTGAGTTGCCTCTCAGAAGCATATTGGGGCTGTATGAGGTGTGGGTGGAGAGGTTACTCCCAAGGCTTGTCCATGCCCCAGGTATAGTGCACAACATTTCAGGGATAGCAGGGGCACAGGGACTCGGCAGCATCACTTCTTGTTGTCACTTACGTACACACACACACAAACACTCCCTTGCCAGTCAGTATCAGTGTCTGAGGATCTAGGGTGCGTATTTTGGGCAGCTTTATGTGGCGTTGCAAAAGCATGTCCAGGAGCCCCATGACGGAGAACATCTGACGTTAATCATGTGTAGGCACCGTACTGGGTGCTTCTGCTTTCTGAGCAGTTGGCATTTCTGAGGAACCTGAGGAGCAGGTTCCTTGAATTCATGCAAACACAAATTCAAGAAGCTGAGATCTCCTATCCCTTTCACTTACCAATATTTTCTGGTCTCCGCCACGCGTATTTCTTATTAAGAAGCAGAGTAAGCAGTGTGTCCTCATGATTTGTGTCTTCTCTCTCAGGAAGCACTCGGTTCTCTGCAGCACAGAAAACACACCTTTCTCAGGCTCTAATGACAAAAAGAATGGAACCTCCAGCTCCCAACTTTAAAACAATAATTAAGAAGGCTAAAAAGTAAAAAGAAAATGTCTCCCGTCCGCTCTTTGTCAGGGTGGAAGGAGCTCAGGGGATGAGGAACGTGTGTGAGCACAGAATAAAATGTCCAGGCAGTGAGGGGTGAGCAACAAAAGGGTGCAGCATGGGGGAGCCCTCCCTTCCAGCTCTGGGCTGCTGGCCAGTCTCACTGCAGCCTCATCAGTATGGCTGGCTGCAAAGAGCTGGAGACATCACCTTGATTTAGACAGCTCTGATTTCTTCCGTAGCAGATGCTTCTGCAAAGACAGGCAGCAATCCGTGAGATCCTCTCTTCTCAAAATTGCAGGTGTTCCCTGCCCCTCACACCATCCACCTTCACAGGGCAACCGAAGTGGGAACTTGGTGCTCATGGGGGCTGACATGGGGGTACCATGGCTGAAAAGCCCAGCGGCCCAACACTCTGTTCCTGTGCTCGCTCAGCCTTGGGGCTGCTCTGTCTGATTGTCAGTGGTATTAAAGGATTCTTCCTGAACACTGCCAAAGTGTGGAGGAATTTAAAGCAAGCTTCTTTATCCCCAAAGAAGCTTCTTACAGCAGCCGTAGGCCATGCAAAATTTTTCTGTTTTCCAGGAAAAAGCTCTCCAAGCTGCTCTTGTAAAGCAATTTGGACCTCTCTATGAGGTCCCCTTAAAAGGAAGCTTTCTCAGTGGTTTTGCTTTAGTGGTTGTGGCTATGCCCTCAAATGAATGGTTGTGAAGGTCGGGAGTTCAGAAGAAACCAATGGACACAGCAAATAGAACTAATCAGAGCCCTGAAGGCTCTAAGATCCTCCCATCTCTGCTGAACAGATTTCCAGAATCATCGGAAATGATGCATTCATTTTTGAGAGTAACAGAATGGGAATCAGACTTCACGGGGAGAATGGCCGCTCCCCAGAGTCTTCAGTCAGAACACCTCTGCCCACACCCAGACACTACGAAGCCCTAGGCAATGCCTACAGAATCCAGGGAGCATACTAAGAAATTATGCAGAAAAGCTTATTTTCTCTTCTTCCAGGATCTTTAGGACTTCTGCTTGCTTCCTTCACAGAGGTGAGAAAGGAGAAAATGGTCTCATATAGCCATCAGCCCTACGTAGCTGTGATGCAATTATTTTTGGTACACATCGGAGAAAATATTGTACCAGATGAGCCTTAAGGATGCTCAAGAGTATGTGGGAATCGCCTCCATTATCTGAAGTCACATAAATCTGTAGAAGCAGAGCGGCCCTGGCCAAAGTGATGCTCTGAGTATTTGGCTGAGCTCAGCCCTGCCTCATGCTGCAGCTGAAGCTGCTGGTCCTGACTGCGATCTCTAGACACAAACCTGAGGGAGTTACCAGAGCTACACACTGTGTAAAACTTGCCGGTAGCGTGGAGTGCTATAAACCTCATTCCTGAGTCTGAAAGACAGTTACAATTTTAAAATAGCTACTTTTAGTAATTCGGGGGATTTTCTACAGAAAAAAACACCTTATAAACACTCCAGTAAAAATGAAACAGAAGCAGTATTTAGATACAGTGGCCTCAGGACTGTTTTGGTCCCCATTACAAAAATAAATAGGTGATATAAGAGGAAAAATCATTTGAAAAGCACTGTTATTTTCAAGCCTATATTTAACTTCTCTTTTTTTCTTTTTCCATTGCCAAGTCCTCAAGAAAGATTAGTGATTGACATTTCCCTGCAGAATAAGTTCAAGCTAAGATTAATTTAAATTATGGGAGAAGAACATATAAAAAGGTTTGTGAATAAAGAAGATCAGCAGCACCCTACTACTGACATTTATGAGCTGTCAAATCTCATATGGTACATATTGGAATTGCTACTCTCTGATATTTTTACGTTTTTCTTTGGAAATTGTCTTTTGGGAGAGAAAGAGCTACCCTTACCAGATTTCACCAGGTCTGATATTTTTACTGATTAGCAGAATGTGTCATACAACCAGCTGTAGACCATAAGAACAGCTTTAGCTCGTGCTAATACGAACGAGTCTCTGGGTTGCACCCATATTAATTGATTGTTTTGTATAGCTCAAGGTTCATTTTATTTTCTTTCACAAATAAGCGAATGTTGCATTGGCCACGACAAGCAGCAAAGCAAAGCAAAAAGATAACCACCTACCTGTGTCATCTAGTCTGTATTTCAGCTTATCTTGTAGTAAAAAAGGTTCTCCATGTGTAGATGGGACATACACAGTCATGGTCAAGATGGTTAGTGCTCCAAGGAACAGCTGGACAGACCACATCTTCTCCATGTTCCCACCACCCAAAAACATTCTTCCTTCAGGCACGGTGGAGGACTTCAGTGCAACCCAGTGCCAGATGAGCTCACTTTTTAAGAGGCAGTGGATGTGCTGTGATTGCAAATGGCCTTTGGAGGAGGGGAGAAAAATATCTCTTGAGATATAATTCAACCTGTCAATATGATTCACTCCTTTGGGAGTGGACAGAACAACCCAGTAACAGACGTCAGATGGAACCTGTTCAATATATCTCATATCAGACTGATCTAATGAATTCTGATGTTCCCAAAGGCATGCACTGTCCACACACATTGATATACATTCCATACGTACATACATTAAAAATATTTCTTTGAGGCTGCTGCTTTAATGGAGTTCAGACATGAGGACTCCCACATGAGCAAGGAAAATTTGTCTAATGTACAAGTTGCCGTATGTCACCAGTTGGAAGAGAATCAGGTTAATGGGGTTTTGTAATTTATCATCTCACTTCCTAGTGCCTATATTAATTAATGTGAGATATAATGAGTGCTGAAGTGGTGGGAAACAAAGGGGAGAGCTCTTTTCATTTAACTGATTGGAGGATGTTAAGTGTGTCTCACTCACTGTGACTTATGGCTTTTTCAACAGGAAAGGCATCACACCCTATTTTGGGATTTTATCTGAGTGGGAGAGTGAAGATTTGGCAGCAGATATGGAATATATCAAAGATGGGCAACTGTCTTGGTTTTTTTCTTGGGGAAAAAAAGAAGTGGAAGGTCAGATGCTGGTTCTAGCTGCACAGGCATATTTTATTAGTTCAAACCAAAGTACTGAGGAACATTGCACATGTTTTATGTCCTCTCAGGTCACGACTGCATCTTGGTTTGGCTTGTATTTGTTGTGTGACCATCACTATAGATTGGAGACCCGCTACTAGTTTTCTGTTACAACTTCGCTAAGAAAAATGTTCTGATAGTGACAGCACTAAACTTTGTTCTTCACTTCTGCTTTTTCTGCAGAACTGAATCATCTGTACTACACTTTGGCCAAGCTCTGACTTGTACATACACTCCTAGTGACTCACTTTCTGTGCTTTTTTGACACCCCGTCATGCCAGATTACCCAACATAGCTTCATCTGATGGTACTTGCACTTCATCTTAATGAGAAAACAGTATCATCTCCATGTTTGGGCTTCTGGCTTCTGGTCCCCAGCTCTCCTTACAACTTGCTGTGTATGTTGGATTGCTATAGAATGAGTAGCCTTGTAATATCCCTTTTAATACTTACTCTTTACTTAAAAAGAGAGAGGGAGAGGCTCAGATTTTTGCAGAAAGTACCTATAAAAATGAATGTGATACTTCCATTAAGGAATACTTCTTCACTGAGAAAATACTCCAAAATTTTCCCCGCAGATATAATATGTACAAATAAACCAAACTTGTCTTTTCCCTTAGTCTTGTGAACCAGTGATCAACCAGCTGAATCACAGAATCATTGAGGCTGGAAAAGACCTCTGAGATCATCAAGTCCAGCCTATGACTCAACACCATCACATTGGCCAGACCACAGCACTAAGTGCCACATCCAGCCTCTCCCTAAACACCTCCAGGGACTGTGAAGTACTCTGCTTCTTCACAAAGTTCTATTTGGACCACAGGACACCCACATCCTACTGGGCACAGTTTTCCAGCCACCTCTGTCTCCCTAAGCTGCCTGTTTCAAGCTGATCAGAGGTGAGCAGCCCCCATGAAGGAGAGGCCATAACTTGATGATCACCATCTTATACAGGAGTCTGGGATAGACAATAGTAGCTCTGACTCAAAATTGTATTCTTAAGGGAAGATTGTTTTTTACTTGTATTAAATGGCTTCCCAGGCCCGTAGCAGTCTGTCTTGAGATCTGCCATGAAATTGGCTTTGCCTTGATATAGGAGGTGGGTTTCCCCATCTCATCTAAGTTTATGCAGAATCCACAGATTGACAGGTTTTTTCCTACCCTTGGCTACAAGGCATTGTGGGCTATTGGCAGGCTCTTTCCAGAAGATGAGCTGTTCCCTGGGATTTCCTCTTGCATTGCAGAGAAATTTCAGTTCTGGGTCACCGCAACTGTTCAGCCCTCAAAGCAACTCACTTATAGACTGTGCTAGTCCTTTCGAGTGATGGCCCTGGGGAAGGTAAGGGATTGCCATTCCACATTTACCGGCTAAAGGGATATTACTGGATGCCGTGAGGGGTCGATGCTTTCAGTGGGTGGGTGGGTGGATAGATGCCCAACATCTGCTGCCAGATGCTAGTGGAATTTTTGCATTTGTTGCAGTTATGAGACAGTTGATTTGCAGTGTTGGGCTTCTGCAAGACTCCCACCTGGAAAATTCCTTTGCTTTTAGGCCGTTTCTCCGCTGCTGGAAATACTATTATGTTTCATTGTTCTTATGTATTTTATTCTCCATAAGAAAACAACATAGTTCTCATATCCTCCCTATTATTTCACTCAGTGATAATGTCTTCTACATCATCCACTGAGTACTTATGTCTAGAGCTCAAAGATAGCGAGAATATGAAGATGTGAGCTCTATCTTTACCTCCCATGGTCCTAGTCTGTCTGAGCCTTTTCATGTAGAAGTTCCTCTTTTCACAAAGCTATGCAGACTTTAGATAATCATACTCAATGAAACTGGAAAATTGACAAGGGTGGACAAAGCCAACCAGTCCAGAGGGCAGGAATGGAGAAGATTTGGCCTAAGCAGATGCCAATAAACGCAGCTGCACCAGCTCTGAGTGTGAGATAAGCACATGTGCCAGGGTCCTGAGGGTGTTAACAGTCTTGAACAGCCTCAGCTAGGGCCTCTACCACCCCTTGTGCCCATAGGCTGAGGAGTGCCATCTAAGCTCAGCTCTTGGCTCCTCCTTGTTTGCTTGAGCTATGTTGGAGGCATACTGGTCTGCAGCTTAGCTGCATCTTTGCCTGCTCATGACCCTGACTGATCTGGGGGCAGACCTGCAGATTGAATTCCCTACTTGATCTTAGGAAAGTTCTATCAGTATGGACCTGTCTGGTGTTCACTGGCCTGTGTTTGACCCTGGTTGCTATTATCAAGCCTGATTCTAACTAGTGGATTGAGTTCCAGCTTGAGCTTGGATCTGCTTCATCATCATGGACTTCCCTGATCATTGGGACTCTTGACTGAATCTAGCTGCTGCCTCTGAGCCTGCCCTGCTTGCACCTCTTGAGATGGGTCTCTGTCCTGATGACAGCATCACTGCGCTGGGCCCCCTGTTCTCTAAGGAGCAGCTGGCCCTTGCTGCTGTACGATATCATTTTCCTCAAAATGTGTAGACTCTTTCTATGCATAGACTCCTCTATCAGGTAGACTAGTAGATCTTGGAGCAGGAAGGCTTTCAGGTATGTTATGTAAGACACCAGTTTTTATGAAGTCGTTTTGGGCTTTACTGTTAGCTCTAATGAAGGTCAGACTGCCTCTAGAAGAAATGCAGTGCCCAAATAAGCTAACCTCAATCTAACCTGAAATCAGTAACCCTTGCTCTTTCAGAGTAAGCCTGAGACAGGGGGAATTCAGTGTGAGGTTTGTGTGACTTATAAGATGCAGGAGGCAGTGTTGAGCTGCTGAAAGCAGGAGAGCATGAAAGGACCACTTTCCAGCTTGAAGTGGCAGGTTTCCAGACCACCTGGTATGCTGTAAATTTGGGGTTTGGAGAGAGACGGAGGATACTCTTTTCCTTTCCAGAGCTTTCTGAGAACACATGAAAATATCCCATGCATCAGGTGAGCCTCAACAGCATCTATGGGCTTTGCTGTGGTCTTACGATCTCCACTTAACCACAGTTTGGTCCCAAAGTAAGCAACCTGCTGTGGGAGGATCTGTCAGGGAAGAGTCTTTACTTAAGGTTGTGAGAAAGCACATGTGAGTTGTCCTGCAACTTCTGCACCAGGGATGGGGCATGGTTGCAACCAGGCAGTCCTACTTGGTATAGACAGGATTTTATATATGTGGTACATATGGGGAGACTCATGTATCGCTATATTCTTGCCTAGAGTGTTTCTAAGAATAAGATGACAGTGGGGAATGACAAACTTGAAAATAAGGAGGGAGATGCCTTGTAAAGGGAAAAGCAGTGTGGGAGCTTGACAGCTTCAACAAAGGGTAAAATTGGTGGCTTTTAACAGGCAAGAAAGGAGTGAACTAAGCTTCATATGCCGTGTCAGAAAGGCAGGAGTCATCTCGCTCTCCATCTTGGACAGTGACTTACAGCATACTTGCTCTGTGCCACCATGTTCTTCTGTCACTTCTGTCTATTCACATGCCCAACAAATTGTTTCCCACTTCTGTAGCCAAGTCCTTTCTCTCTTCCATACTCTCTGCTTTTCTTGCCTGTATCACCATTTGTCGCTTTGGTCTGGGCTCCTATTGCATCTATCTGCTCCTCCGTATCTCCAACTGTGCTTTACCTGGTAGGAAGCAAAGTAGAAGGTACTGAAAACCACCCTGTTCTCTTCAGCTGTCAACCCTTACATATTTAATATGTACTTTCTCCTCTGACTGTGTCACTACAAGCCTGGGGTGTACTTGAAAGAACAAAATCCTCTCCAGTCCCATTATTTAAAGCAATGCTGGAAGGCGCTCGGATACTCTGCTGATATTTGGTGCAAAGTCTCTGATAGAGAGGCTTGACTGCAGAAAAGAATTAGAATATTGTGCATGCAAGCCAGGAGAGCAGGTCCCTGAGAAGAGAGGAGTGCATAATAGTGAGGGAGATGTAGTTATGAGATTTTCTGTTCCTTAAGGGACTGTTAAAACCAGTCAATATTTGTGAAGATTTTAGTCTGACTCATGCAATTCGTTCCCCCTTCTATGGTGCTTGTCTTTTGGACTCAGCTGTTGCTTGGCCTGTTACTGCCATAAAATCAGATGCTATGATTTAACTGTATCCTTGCTTAGAGAAAGAAGAGGAAATGTCCAGCACAGAGCATAAAGCAGCTCAGGTTGCACCTCACTGCAAG